GGAACCATTAGGTCCAGGGCCCATTCGATCCATATTCATACGATCCATTCCACCCATGCCTCCCATTCCACCCATGCCTCCCATTCCGCCCATTCCTCCGTGGCCTCCTGGTGGGCCCCCGCCTTGGGCCTTGTTGATTTCTCTCTGAGCTATCACACCATCAGGGTCCTAACAAAAAGCATCAAAAACATACTTTTATAGTAAATTTACTTTTGGTCTTTTGAAGCTCTTTGGTTGCCTGGTAAATCTTGTTGGAGCTTACCTCTTTCACTTTGAGGGGCCTTCCGTTGAGATTGTGCTTGTTGACCTTTTCCACCGCTTTCTTCATAAGCTCTTCACTCCTAAACTCAACCACACTGACAGAAATAAACAAAATTTAAAAAGTGCCTGGTTTAATTAAAATAAAGTATAAAATATACACATCATTGTTTATACTTTGCTCATTTGAACAGGATTTCAACATTTTCAATTTGTACATCCGAGAGCTACGCCTACAATATGGAATATCAATGGACATGGACTACTTACGCACAACCCTTTGTTGATGGAAGACGTCAGAACAGGCCGCACCAGAAGGAGTAAAGACAATTTTGAATTAATTAAAGCAATGGTCATAACTGGTGTCTGTAATGATAAGTTAACCAAAGTAGAAGTGCATGCATAACAAAATGGTCTATGTCACACAAGCCTACAAACTTGGCTTGCAAATAAAACAATTAAAAATGCTTTCCCCCACCGTCACAATGCAGACAAGACTGGAATCTTTGATTGTTTTTCCATCATCAAAAGGGCAGAAAAATCCAGTGAGGAAGGATTCTACACTTCTAAGGAATTGCAGTTAACTTTTCCAGTAAACTAGTTCTACTGAATGAGTACTATGTAACCACCATCTAAAAGCCTTGAAACAACCTCTTGCAGACTACACTCCTGTAGTTCATGAGGAGCAAAATCAGCATCCAGGGGACATGTTCCACTACTGCAACCCAACAGGATTGTCTACAAAGAGAGCTGAAGACCTGTTATAAGAGCATCAACCCCTCACAATGACCTCAAGTCAGTGCCACAGACGACATCAAATAGCACATGCCTTCGACGGGTCACCTTCTCACACACACTCCACCAGGTTTGTGAATCTCAACAATCCCAACAAAGAAAAGTAGGGAACCAAAGCTGACAAACACAGGTTTGTCAAGGAATAGTCATACGTTTTATTGTATTTATATGCACTTACCCTCGATTTGCCTTCTGCGTCCATTAAGTGTTCCACGTACGTTACATCACCCACTACAAATCAGATTCCAGAGACGACACACACCAAGGGGAGAGAAGCCGAGAGAACAATTGGGGTTTAGAGCAGAAACACAAGTTGGGTGGCTGGTGACAGTAAGCTCAGCCTGCCAGTCCTGAGGCTTTCCCCCAGCACCTCAGCAGCAGCACAATATGGTACAGGTCTACAAAGCAAGCCCGGGTCTTTAAAAAATATATATAAATAAATCACACTTCTCAGCCTGTCCTTGTTAGAAGCACAGAAGCACCAAAAGCCATAAACTGAAGACAACAGCTGATAATATGGCCATCGGCCTTAATACGTCTATTACGGATGTAATGCAGTGAACACCTTGAACCTTAAGATGTTGGCCTACGTAAGTTCACGTGGGAAAAACCTTTTCCATGTCTCCACCTATTTCATTTTCAAACCTGTGGTCAAATAGTCACATTTTAAACCGTTGACTAATACATTCACCCATCACTGCGCCTAAGAAAGACACCTGGGACTAAAGAAAATTAACAATTTGAATGGCAGCTATCTTTAATAGATTAGAAACTACCATAACGGCAATCATGTTTGTGAGGTAGACCTGTTCCTGAAACGAGCAGTTTCCAAATTTAGATTTAATGTCGACCCAAGCCATGTCTCCTATCATGTCTGTTCAACACGATGACATCAGTGACCAAACCTTAAGACAAGGACAGTGCATGAGAAGTTGCTGTTTTGTAGACCTGTACCCCAAAGACATCCCCAACGCATAGCTGTGTTTGGCACAACATGGAGATCTGCTGAGAAAACATTTCCTTGTAAAGGTCACTCCTAAAAAAGAAAAATGCAATTTAACTCACAGTCAGTTGTCAGAAAACAAATACCAGGCACCCTTCTAAAAAGGAATATACCTTTCTAATTGCATGCTTTAACTGTAAGTGAATGCCACTTTGGTGCTTTACTTAAGATACAGCCATCACTTCCAATACACCATACCTACAAGAACTTCCACACAAGTGAAAGCGCGTGAAAATCAATACAGTACATTTAAAACACAGCTTTTTTACAAATACCTGCAGAAAGTCGAAGTTGCTGCATCACAAATGACATTCCTGGACATATCTCAAAAAATGTCACTTATTCATAAAACCTTAAGAGCTCAGGGTTTACTGTTAACTGAAAGTGTCCATCCATCACCCAATTTCTTGCCAAAATAGTACAACACAAATAAGTATTGCATGTTCTTTCATGAGTTCCATTGGGAAAAGTATGTCATTGCGTGCCAGTAATTGTATTATCACATCGGTGGACTGGCTCTGACCAAGGACAACCTCCACTTGCATAAACAACTTTTTTTTTTTTTTTTTTTATTACTGCAAATGGAGACAGAATATTCAGTGTAACATCCAGGTCTGAAGCAACTCCGTAGTTGACAGAAAAGTAAGATGGAACTCATCCAAAACCTTCGTTTCCAAATAACTCCCACAAGATTTCAACCACTCTGCTTCAATTTACGACCGTGCACAAATATCCAAAAGCCCTTCAAGAGCTGCAGGGGCCAGACCAATATGACCCCATGAGGCTGTAACTTTCATCATGTCTGAAGTTGAATCAAGCCCTTATACAAACACCTTACCTTTCTCTTTCATCAGATCCTTCAGGGCTTGCCATTTCACATCATATGGGATGTTGCTGACAAAAACACGGTATCTTCTGTTCACGTGTCCGTAGGGTTCAAAACGCCCGCCTCCACCTCTCTTCTGGGGCCTCTCCTTTCTGCTTGCATTGGGCTCATGCTTGGCTTTCCCATTCACTTCTCTGTGTGCAAAAAATAAAAAAAAAAAATAATTAAAAAAAAAAAAAGGTAGAATTGCAGTTTTAATACAACAAGGTAATTACAAACATGACCTATGAAAAACAAAAAAAAGCCCACCCCTTTCTGTTGAGCCACTGCTTCTCTCAAAAACAAAAAAAAGAAAGACCGCAGTCGCGTTAATTCAATAGTAATGTTAAGTTAATCTTTAACCCGTTATGAGCCAACCAGTTCCAGGAAACTACGAAATCAATTTGTGAACTACGTTTACTTAAACTTTAAACTTTAAACGGGTACATGGGCTAATGAAAGGTTGTAATGGTTTGCTAAGCGACTGCACGGTATCCGCATGGCAAGGCCGCTACTCCTGCACAAAGGGTTTGCAATACATGACCAAACATATTAGATATCCTTTACACTGCATATCTTTTAGTACACAACATATACTCTTAAGTTATTTGATAACAGAAACGCTAACGCTGAGCTACTACTACTACTACAACTACTACAACTACCACGCAAAGGGGAGGACATAAATGAAAACAGACTGGGCCTCGAAACCTCACATTAAATACACACAATAAATTACATGGTGTGTTTATGCATTTCTCTTTAGATTGAGTCTCGGGTGTACTTCCATTTTATAAACCGGCAGAGATTCTTGTGTGGCTCGGGATATTTTTGGGCCAAGTTAGCGAATGTTAGATAAGAGTTAGCATTAGGAAGCTACTGAGCGCCAACAAAGAGATGTCGATGAATGGACTCACCCCTGCTGCTGCTGCTGCTGCTGCTGCGGTGCAGGCTGCTGGCCCACTTTCTCGGCGGTGTTTTCGGCCTGCTCGTTAGACATCGTCTTCCGTAGTCTGATGTCTTGCTAAATTAAATCGAGTTTTTTTGTTGTTGTTGTTGCCGAATATCGGTGTAGATAATGACGAATCAAAGTGACCCAGTTCAAGGCTACCGACCGCTTCTTGTGAGACCGACTGATGAAGATGGCGGAGAGGGAACAAGCTGCTAACACAACACGCGCAGGTAATCCCGAAGATTTAAACCAATGTCTACATCCGGTTTTACATTTCAAAGTAATGGTCAAAAACGGTGCAGGTGGGATTTTCAAAATAACAGCGCCTGCCTCTGTGGCGATAATGAATTACATTTCTTAAATAAGTCATCATGCGACTACACCTTTAGAATCAGTGATGTTGTTTTATTTTGGATCCTGAACTTCGGCTATGTGTCTTTCTGATTGATGATTTCGCAACTCATGAGCGCAATACATTTTTTTTTTCTCTAACAGAGTTTCCACTGAAGTTCAATGCTTTTTTTTTGTCCTCCCAAAAAGTTTAAAATACCTAAGATTTTGCTTATTTTGCTTTAAGAGCTAATTGAAGTATGAGGAGGTTTTCATATGCTAAGTGTAGAGAGGGTGTCATGTTAAGGGGCTTTACGCAAAGTATGTAAATAAATTGATATTGTATATTTGATATATATATATATATATATATATATATATATATATATATATATATATATGGTAAGCCGTTCAGGAAATTAATATATTGAATAAAACTTTGAATATATGGAATGCAACTTGAATATATTGAACAAAGTCTGAATATATTGAATGAAAACTTTCAAAGTTTCATTCAATATATTCAAAGTTTCATTCAATATATTCAGACTTCATTCAATATATTCAGACTTCATTCAATATATTCAAAGTTTCATTCAATATATTAATTTCCTGAACGGCTTGCCATATATACAATATTTGTACAGTATATGCAAAACCCTTAAATACAAACACACACACAAAAACCATGATAGGCAGTAATGTAACTTTTTGGATGCCAGCTGCCAATAAAATCCAAAGAAGAAACCTTGATAGACGATGCAGCGCCAGGCCACAGGGGGGCAACAGCTAATGATTGAGTAGACCACCACGGTCACAACGTCATCACCGGAACGGATGTAGTGTTTAGCTAAACTACCCAATGCTTAACCCTAACAAAGCCCGTGTGTGTTCTTATTGACTATCGTTGTAGCTTTTAGGGATTGTAAAACACATCCAAATTTCCATATTAGAAAACAACATTTCTTATATAAGCGTAACATTGCTGTTTTTGGCGCTAGTGTAGTTTAGCTCTAATGACAACATCGGCGTTAGCCTTTAGCTGGTAGCATCATTTTGCACAGTAATGTGAAGTAACCACAATCACTTAATGTGCACCCGTGAATGTTAAGAAGTATTTAAGTTTGAAAAGACTTGAAAGGTTACTTAACAACAGACACAGTCATGGGTACTGGAGCTGATGTTAGGGATATCCTGGAGTTGACTGGAGGAGAAAATGACGGTCCGATCAGTAAGAAAGATCTCATCAACTCGGACAAGGTGAGAGACCAGATGTTGTGCTTATTCCTGTATTCACAAGTGAGCCATGTAATATGTGCTTTTTCTTCTTACTAAAGGTTTATAGTTACAAAGTGTGGTGTTCAAAAACACAGGACTTTGCCATTTGCTTTAATGTAAATACTGTAAAAACTCTGCCACATTTATTACATTGTTTTATTATCATGTTTACATCAGCCTCCTTTACACTACTCACCACTGCACTACTATATTTTTTTAGTCTTGTACATATTAGTCTTTGCTTATTTTATGTTTATTTTGATATTTAATTTCATACCTTTGTACATAGTTCACCAAAGTAAAATTCAAACTGGCCCATAAAGCTGATTCACTAGAAACTATAAAATGATGTGTCGCTTTAACACAACAACCTGTGTTACTTTATCCCGTTTAGAAAAAATCCAAGAAGACAACAGAAACCCTCACCTTCAAGAGACCAGAGGGAATGCACCGAGAGGTCTACGCTTTACTCTACTCAGATAAAAAGTAAGGGCTTCTTTACGACAATTCATGTACAGTTCCTCTCCTACAAGTCCTGTGTTTTATTACTGCAGTACTTAGAATTGACTATTAAGTTTCCTGTAGAAGGGATCCAGACGAGTGAGAGAATTTTGTCTCCTCAAGGATTAAGGGCTATTTAAATGATGTAAAAATCACAAAATCCATTTTTATGGAGTGTGTTTAATAACTACTTAAGACCAGTGGCATCCCAGTGATTGGCTTGATCTTATGCCACATTTTGTATGTGCTTCATATCCTTATAACACCTTTTCAGAAAAATAAAATAACAACATTGTTTCCACATGGTTTTTTTCCCCCTTTCTCTTACAAAGCCTTGTTTTATTTGCCTGTTTATCTCCAGAGATGCACCTCCACTGCTGCCCAGCGATACAACTCAGGGCTACAGGACAGTCAAAGCCAAGCTGGGCTGTAAAAAGGTTCGGCCCTGGAAGTGGATGCCCTTTACCAATCCGGCTCGAAGGGATGGGGCTATTTTCCATCACTGGAGACGTGTGGCAGAGGAGGGCAAGGACTACCCTTTCGCCCGTTTCAACAAGGTAGGGATGACTCCTTCTGTTATCGTGTAAAAGTCAAGTGTCTCCTAATTCGTCATAACACTTATGGAAAACACACACCAAGGTTGGCTTATTTATAGCTACAAATGTTGATTTTCAGATTCAAACACAAATGTACTCTTTTCTCTTATTGAGCCTGATTATCTCTGTTCTCCTGTCTGTTTTTTTTTAGACAGTACAGGTACCAGTTTACTCGGAGCAGGAGTATCAGATGCATCTGCATGATGATGGCTGGACTAAAGCAGAGACAGATCACCTGTTTGACCTGTGCAAACGCTTCGACCTTCGCTTCATAGTTGTCCATGACCGCTACGATTACCAGCAATACAGAGTAATAAACGATCACTTACCAACAGTACTCAGTGTGAATGTATAACAAAACGAAAACATTTGTAAATGAAAACACATTTCCTTGGTAACAGTCTCTCAATAATGCTTTCAGAAACGTTCAGTGGAGGACCTAAAAGAACGGTATTATAACATCTGTGGTAAGCTGACCAAGGTTCGCGCAGCTTCAGGGACAGAGCCAAAGATCTATATCTTTGATGCCGGCCATGAAAGGCGCCGCAAGGAACAACTAGAGAAACTCTTCAATCGCACACCTGAACAAGTTAGTTTGTTTCTTTTTCCTATGCATGTCAAGGGCAAACAAAATATCACTGCTGTTTTGTGAAAAAGAAGCTGACCCTATAGATTTTAAAATTGCACTTCTCCTGTTTTCCCTCTAGGTGGCAGAAGAGGAATATCTTGTACAAGAGCTAAGGAAGATAGAGACTAGGAAGAAAGAGCGGGAGAAGAAGGCCCAGGATCTGCAGAAACTCATTAAAGCGGCTGATACAACCACAGAGTTAAGGCGAGCAGAAAAGAGAGTTTCCAAGAAGAAACTCCCTCAAAAAAGAGAAACGGAAAAACCGGTAAGAGATGCACCGACACTAAAAGAGCAAAGTAAAGCTCAAGCCAAAAATTTGTGCTTAAGAAATGTTCATCGGCATATGGAAAGACTGTTTGAGGGGGAGAAGCCTGCAGTAGTAGTGCACAGAAAGAATCAAGATTCAGCACTGTTGTAATATTATGATAGAGCAGCTGTGCGTAAAATGAGCTGAGCTGGCTCTTGTGTCTTCTTCTATCAATGTGTAATGACTGTCTGATATATCTGGTCATACTCTGGTCATATATCTTTTTAAGTTTGAGGTGTCGTATCTTTCCTCTAAGCAGTTTTTTTTCTTCTAATGCAGGCTGTTCCAGAGACGGCAGGCATCAAGTTTCCTGACTTCAAATCAGCGGGAGTCACTCTGCGCAGTCAGAGGGTAAGTTATAGCTAAACCTGATTGAGACTTTAAACTACAAATGTCAGTTTACTGAATCTTATCTTCAAAGAAAGACCTATCTGAAAAAAGAAATCAACTTGGAAGTAGTCAGAAATAATACAAAAGCTCTGCTTGAGGAATGTCCTGGACAGAATTTATATACATGATCTCTAAAGGCTAACGGTCGACTTTGTGATAAATATAAAAACAAATTAGTTGAACTTTGTAAAAGCAAGATTATTTTTAAAGTTATTATCAAAACAAGTTTAGTGAGACTTGACCCTGCAGTTGATATATGTGAGGAAGCAGGATATCTGACTTGAGCAGGCTATCTCTCATTAGCATGGAGATGATTAATTCTGTTAGTGACCAGCTAATATCTGTAAGACTTGGCAAGAGGACTCTTATTCATCTTCAAGACTGATGAGGAGCAGCTACTCTCTATGGAAAATGCATTAGCACAGCTAAAGGAGTGGAGAACCCGCTAGCCAATCAGTCAGACAGACTTCAGTGGATAAAGACATTTTGATCTGGCCCACTGAAGTGCATTTCATACGAATTAAAAGCCCCGAGGTGGAGCTGTTTATCCTAACATCTCCAGCACCTTAAATCACACTGTGTGTGTCTGTGTGTTTGTGTGTGGTTCAGATGAAACTGCCAAGCTCAGTAGGCCAGAAGAAGATCAAGGCCATTGAGCAGATCCTGATCGAGCAAGGAGTGGGTAAGTGTGGAAAAAAAGCTCTCTGCCAACATTTCAAATGTTTACATTTTCAAATCTCCTCTGCAAAACACGTTCTTTAAAACAACCACACAGAGACATACTCTGACTTTACACATATAATGTTGTTTAACGACAGTAGGGCTACAAATAGAAGCTATTCCTTGACAAACAACAACAAGATGCCAGCAGAATCTCAGAGGTCTTCATCTGCTAGCTGTCAGTTTTATGATAAAAGTCATGGACGTGGATTTTTTTTATCTGCATTATTTAAACCAAGGGTATTTATACTGCTGGAAAGACATATCAAGGCTTCTCTGAACACAACTTAATACACAACCAAGGAAGCGTTTAAGATCAAAAGTATGTGCGAATGTAAGTCCCAGTGTGGGATATTTGATGATTACACAATCATTATCATCTTTTTAAACAGTGACAATAACAATATTAAACTAGATCTATTGTGTGTTATAATAATATTTGTATTTATCTTTGCTTTTGTGTCTGTCTGTCTGTGATTGTAGATCTGAACCCCATGCCCACAGAGGAGATTGTTCAGATGTTCAATGAGCTGCGTAGCGACCTGGTGCTGCTGTATGAGCTGAAGCAGGCCCACAGCAACTGTGAATATGAGCAACAGATGCTGCGTCATCGTTATGAGGCCCTACTGAAGGCCAGCAGTGGAGGTGTGTGTGGTGGAACTATAGGGTCTGGTCCAGCCTCTACAGGACAGGGTGGAGAGGTCAATGCCACCAACAGCACCACAGCAGCCACCCCCGTTGGTGAATCTCAGTCCTGGCCCTGTGTGGACAACATCAAGGTGGAAGCCAAAGAGCAGATCATCGATGTTGTAGGAGCGCCACTTACGCCCAACTCTGTAAGTCTGGTCAGCTTGGACCCAATCTGGTTTTTAGATCCAAAGTTAAGTTAAATCTCTTTATGACAGTTTCCTTTTCCACCTATCAATTGTTCAACAAGTTAAGTCTTCTCAACTTTTTCAGCCCGAGTCTCAAGTTAGCTAAAGTGTTCAGGCTTAAAACTCTCATGTAAGAAGGGTTTCATAGCACATACATTAAGGTGGGCTCAAGTTCATGTCTGAAGTTTGATGCTTTCACAATTGACGATAAATAGTAGTGACATACTGTATGAAGGGTATTTTAAACTGTCTCATCAATATGAAGATTCAGTTTTCTTCAGGGAACTATATAATCCTAAACCTTTTTTTCATCAAGATAACTAATCATGGCACCCAATCATAACTCTGAAAAGGAAAACAGAAACTGCACCTTAAAAGCTCTCTCACTTTAGTAGTTGTTTATGTCTTTCATTACATGACATATACTATTTATGGCCAGTTTGCCTGGAATTTTAGTAAATACATTCTAGTAAAGGCCATTGATTGTAAACTACTCTTATTGGATGTGATTGTTTTGTGTCACTTTGCAGCGCAAAAGGAGAGAGTCTGCATCCAGCTCGTCTTCAATCAAGAAGGTGAAGAAGCCTTGATGGTTACCGGAGCCGCTGCTTTTACACTGTGGAGGACGAGGTGAAGTGTTGGTCACAGTAGAGATGTCTACAAGTTTTAACAGTTGGACAAGAGGGACACGGGAGCAGGACACCATATTGCTCTCCATTAATGTAGAAGCGCCATGGACTACACACACTCACACACACAACTTTCCACCTACCAACGGCAACACTCCCACCCATCCCCGTCTGGCCCAGCCTGCATCTTTGTGACAAAGGCAACAACTGAGTGACATTTCATTCCATTACTGCACGTCTGCCTGCCTCACCGTAGCTCAGCCTCAGATGAGGTAAGATCAACTGTAAATTGCCAGGCTGAGCTAATCGGGATCTGGGAAGGAGGCGGGAATGACGTGGTAATTGAAATGAATTGGAATGAAAGGAGAGACTGTGGGAGTGGGAGGACTGAAAGCCAATGTTTTTTTTTTTTGGTAGCCTAATCATGCCATAGTGTTTAGTGGAAATGTGTTTTGGTGTTAGCTGTTAATACCCCTAACCCCTACAGCCGCCTCTCAACCTGGACCTCTCCTCACTCTCTTATTGATGCTGGGTCCATCTTTTGCCTGTTTTCGAATCGTTGGAGCTGATTTCTGTTGTTTGTCCTCAAGTGATCTTGAAGTTGTTCGGTCAATGATTCAATAAACCTCATTGTTATTTTTTTTTGTATCTTGCTTCGTGTTGTACATGTTTATACGCCACGATGGTCCCGTTCACATTCCATGGATGTGTCGCTCTTTCTGAGATGAGGTCTTAACTTGGAGGCAATTAGTGCTGAATACACATTTGCTGGGGAAATTGTAAGATCATGACATTCTTATCTTACCTGTCATCTAAGTTAAGTGACAACTAATGACTTCATTAATATGATAATTACGCAGTGATCATTCTTAGGTTTGAACCGTCACTTAAACTTCATTAGGTCCCCCTCTATAATATTGCTAATTGCATGTCAATTATGTGATTTAGCCCACTTAGACATTAATTTCTATGCAAATTTGTAATATGTTTGCCCAGAGGAGGAAAGCACTATGGCCAGGGCATTTTGTAAGAATGCATGTAAGCTTTACCAAAATTTAAGTATTTCAGAAGCTTTCATGCAAACTCAACATAACTCCCGAGTTCTTCTAAATTGCACTTTTTATTTTGTCATTTGATGAACTGAACACACTTCAATGGTTACTTAGATTATAAATGAAATACTATTATGATGACCTATATTAAATAAATAAAGTAAGCTTATTTCAGTGAAATTTCTGTTTAAGGCTCGATCCTCTACAACAATAAAGGCCTTCTTTCTCAACTGTTATGGCCAAACGATGCATCTTAAATTAATAACATTTTCATTAACTACTCTAATAAGCACAGTTAAGGTTACAGGAACAAACCCAACCACACATTGTAGACTGTTTGATTTAGAGAGAGAGAAAAAAATGAGTGAGAGAGGGCAAGTAAACATGGGTAAAATGGATTCTCTGTGTCTATATTTCATGTTGGAAATTGGCTCATAAATCCAGTGGTTTGATCTATGGAACCCGTCGTTGGTTGAAAAAACCTCCGTAAATGTGTAATTTCTCCCTTGACAGCACACAGCCGAAAGGCTATCTTTCTTTTGCTTCCTCCTCCCCTCTCGCTTCCCCTTTTTCTCTGTCTCTCATTCTCGTCCCCTCTCTCCTCCAGCCGGCTGTTGGATTATTGCTCTGCTCTCGTCCCCTCTCTCCTTTCATGCCCCTCTGATATCGGCTTTTCATCACAGCTCATCCATTCATCAAAACTGGGCCTCCTCTCTTCCTCTTTAATCTCTCTATATCTAAACCCATCTTAAGTTATATGGCAGGTATCTTGTAAGATAGGCTTCAAGGAAGTGGAGGTTATTAATAAATACTATTCTAAATTGAAAAAAAAAAAAGAAGGTGGGCAGGGGTGCATCACCAACCATGTGTGAATGATAAAGCGCCCATCTTGCTCCATCCAGGCTACAGTGTATGTTGTGTGTCACTGATGTGAAAAGCATGATGCAGAACACAGCGGCTGAGTGTCTTATTATATGGTTGTGATGGCATCGAGATGGGATCTCTTTATCAAGCGCAGGCTCAGGCTTTAATCACGGCCTAAGAGGTACCATGGCTGTTTATCATAATTGAGCTGTATCCAGGCTAATCGCTTGCATACGTCACTGTCGAGGGGTCGCTCGGCAGCACCGGCAGGCAAAACTGGTGGAAGTGATTGAAGACACAGTTAAGAGGAAAGATGTGTACTGAGGGACATAAGGCAGGAAGAGGCAGGTAATAGCCGATGTGATAGAAGCCTGTTTGAATACATCACGCCTTGAGGTAATCGCTGATATGACAATGATTAGATTGTCAATGCCTCCTTGCTGTGGCATAGTGCTATATACCTATCATGTCAAATGCAATCTCTGATTACTGCGAGGGAAAGGGGCAGGAACGGTGTAATAGAAGTGGAGGTAAAGAGGCTGGATGATTTCTCTCCTAGGGTTGAGCACTTACTATATAGCATGTTCAAATCAGACTTCCACCTTTGTGCCCCTCTCTCATCTCCATATCTCTCACTCTGACTTTAACCTCCTGCTGTATTGAGGTCACCTTGAGGGACAAAACTTTTAATCATTGTTACACATCAAACTCACCCCTTCCCCCCCCTGGGATGCTGAGCCGCAACAAAGGGAAGGGGAGTTGGAAATCACATTCGCCCACAGGGCTGGACAGTGGAAGTCATTTCCACTGGATTTTTTTGCTGGTGGGGGAAGTCCTGCTACAACACAAACCCAATCACTGGCGCTAAGCAGTGCTTACAGCTAGGCATTAACCCCTCTGTCCACTCTCCACGTGAAAGCCCCGGGGAGGCAGAGGAGAGTGGAGTGGAGAGGAGCGGAGCGGAGAGAGTGGGACTAAATCTAGACTTCCTATGCTGCTCTTGGGAACATCTTCGGTCAGGTGTTGATGTCTTTCAAGGTGTCCTGCCTTGAGGATTTTATTAGGAGAGTTTTACTTTCATGGTCATATACAGAAAGTACAAAGACAAACTGAGTGGATTTAGGTGAAAGAATTTAAACCTAGTTTGATTTCAAGTCTGGAAAAAATAAAGTAGAATCAGGCTTTATTAATAGAAACTCAAATCAATCTGTGTTTACACATGTATGATCTGAATAATGCAACTGGGAACACAAAACAAAGCTAAGAAACTGAATGTGTTGTATTTGTTATATTTTTAGGCCATTTGCCTTTATTGGTTAGGACAGTGGAAGAGAGACATGAAATATTGGGAGTAGAGTGTGGGTGATGACATGCAGCCGAGGTTGGATTGGAACCCTCAGGTTCAGGTGCAGGTTACTTTATTTGTACCCGTAGGTAAATTTGGTTGCAGGGAGAGTCACTTAATACAGCACTGACAAAACATACAAACATACAAAGTGCAAATGCACGGTACATGAGTAAAAGTGCTGAGGTGCATAAAGTGCGCAGATTCCAATGATACAATTGATAAAACAAGTTGATCTGTTAAAGTTACAGAGCCGAGAACATCAAAACAAACGGCCGCTGCGACCAGGCCTTTTAGCGTCTGTACATCGGGTGCGCAACATAACCACTAGGCCATCTGCGACCCATTACTGTAAATTATCATATTATTTTACTGTGTAGTTTGAATCGTCCCAATGATTTAGAATTAAGAGCATTTTCTTTTAAGTTAACTGCACATTGTTGCAAGAATGTCAAGTGAAAAGACTAGTTCTGCTTATTTTGATTTATTACATTTTACAATGTAGGGCTGAGCAGAAAGTGTTTAGTGGGTTTGACAAAGATTTTATGACCAAAGATGAAGAGCATACAAGAAAACGATGTGTTAAAAGATGTGAAATCATTCTCTTTGGGTTCATCATACCTTTACCCCTTTTCAAAAAACGCATAGTCGCATTAACAAATCTGATTTTACATGGGCAGATAAACATCTTAACATTAAATCAGCGAAAAAACAGACAGTGAAATGTTGATCGAACTAAATTCAGTCCTTATCGTGTGTGTCCATATACACTTTTATTTTATTGCCTGGCCCAAACATGCCAACAAGTTGAAGAAGGTGGTCTACATTGGGGTGAGCAGAGTGTGGTCTGATCATGTCAGAGCTGGGATTGAATGCCAACCATAAACGAGATCAGGTTAGACAGATCAGCTCCGCTCTGTTCTACCATCAGCCCTCAGAAACGAAGCAGTTTGACTTGATTTGTCAGCGACAGATAGAGGCTGCTGAACAATATGTGACTGAGTTACCTCTACAAACTTGTGCAGAGAATATCCCTGTCTTCCCTGCACAAGCACAACTCTAACAAAGAAAAAAAAAATCCAATTTACCATGTGGATCCACAGCTGTCACGGCAGGGGAATTAAAAATTACCCATAAGTCACTGGGGGTGCTGAGCAGGTCAGCGCATTGCAGGGATGCTAACGTCACTCTGGGGTGCAATAACAAAAGATTTTAACCTCTGACTTCCTTACTCGAGCTCCTGACAGAACACTCTCCTCACCGAGAGCAGCTTTCATCAGGCTAGTTAACAATCTCTGGTTAAGTCCACGACTCGACTTACTGGTGCACACCTGCCTTTCTATTCATTGCTTAAATTTCTCCCTAACACAAACAGGAAGACATGGAGGAAATGTCAGCATAAATGCACTGCGTTCCACCCTGCTGACTCCTGGAGCAATTCCTGTGATGCTTCATGGAGGGGTTGCTGGGTTCCTGTAACTGCTAGCTAGCATCCGGGTGTCATCACCCACACAGGCTTGACTGCTTGCCTGGCTGGTCCGCCACCGCCAGAGCCTCAATTACCTGACTGACGTTTCATTAGTGGCTGCAGCTGATCCCGTGGCTGAGAGGCAGCGGGGTGCAGAGGAGCATGGAGTGAAAGAGCGCGAGAAAGAGAGAGAGAGAGAGAGAAGGAGGGGGGAGCACATTACATTCTCATGCGCTGTCAGAGTCATAGCCACTCATTACACTGCAGTCATTTAGTACATGGTTTTATTGAGCTAGGCTGTGTATTCTTGAATATAGTTTGGTGGGTTTTATCTGGTGTCACTAGTTCTGAGCTTACATTCACATCCCTGTCTTGGATTTTTGGAGCAGCAGAAAGTGTGAGACGGTGTAGTTGAGTGTGTGTGCACGTGTGAAAAGGTAGCAGCTGTGAGATTAATCCATCTAGTGCGGCGTACTGATCGGAAGTTTGTTGCTTTCCATGTTTCTCTATATATCTGTTGCCACATCTTCTGTAATCATACATGTGCTTGTGTGTCATGTGTGGCCTCTCCATCCTCGGGGTTAGTGAAGGCCATGTCAGAGATGATCCAGGTTAGAGCCAAGGCGGGCTTAGCGAGACCCCCGGCCTGAGCTCCTCCACAGAGCCCACGCTTGGCTGGCCTCTCCTTCCCATTTGTCATCCAGGGCCAGTAAGACCCCCAGAGAGATTAGGGCAGAGCAGAGAGACTGGAGGAGTAGCAGGAATAAGAGGATCAGTTAGGCTATAAACACAGACAAGTTTGTGTCTCTCACCCACTCTGGCGCGCTGACAGTTTGTAATGGCTGTCAAAAGTTCCCTATGCGCCGTACATCTTCCTTTCACAGACACTGCAGGGCCTGATACTGTCTTACCTCTTTTT